TTGGAATAAAACCCAAGAAAATTATTTTTTTAAAATATAAAATGAAAAAATCATGTAAGTTGATGATAAATTAAAGTTGATGTGGTGTGTAATAATGATTGATTAATATTATTTAGTAGTATTGAAAAATATTATTTATAGTGAGATTGAACTAAAAAAATGGCTGAGTTAAAAAAAATGTTTGAATATTTTTGAAATGTTTTATACCCAAACATCCTCTAAGTGTGCATAATAACAAATAAAATTTAGTTAACTAAAAGTAATTGAAAATATTTGCCAAATAAATTATAAAATATGTCAACTTTGAATAGGGATTTTGTTTTCTTTAATTACAAAATATCGCATTTGATACATGCTTCTATCATGATGAGAAATGATATAAAATATATTGATATACTTTTACAGAGTTAATATAAAAATATAAAAAAATATTTGTTAATATAAGTTAACAATACATAAATAGCTTACAATTAAATATCATTAAGAAGTCCTTATGTTTATATAATATTTAATGTAGAAATTGTAATAATCATTAAGAATCGCAATGCATTATAATAACAATTAAATATCTCAATAAAAAAGGATTCTAAAAGACACAACTCTTTCAAAAATAAAACCTAAACAAAATAGATTTAAATAGGTAACATAATACTAATTTATCAATAAACGAAAAAATAATAAACGAGATGCAAATTATATCAATAATACTAATTACATTAAAATGTATTCCTAAATAGCATGTGGAACAAATATAAAAGTTGGGCAAAAATACTTTCCTCAATTTCGCACCATATATACAATATTATGTATGAACTATTATAATTAATTTATTATAATTCTAAATGTATACTATTATTTTTATATTACTAATAACATAACTACTTGTCATAATAAGTAAAGTTTAACAATTTAATTATAAAAAATTAACATTAAACTAATAACAAGGCATATAAAACTACCTAAATGCCTTTTTTTGATAAAATAGAGTATCAAGTAGGAC